TTTTTTTTTTTTTTTTTTTTTTTTTTATTTTAATATTTTGTGTTTCTTCTTTTTGCTTCGTGCTTGTTGCTTTCTGCTGTTCGTTTCCGGCTTTTTGCCTTCCGCTTGTGTTTTCTGTTTGTGGCTTTCAGGCTGTTGCTTCCTGTGTCTTGCTTTCTCTTCTTACTTCTTGCTGTCGTCATTTTGGATCATGTAATTTTGTTTCATCATTGTTCTTCATGCTTGATGTTTTTTGATATCTTTCACCGTTTTTCATCACACGCACCACGTTTCATGCAAAGACTCTGGAATCCAAGGCGTGCAGCTCGTCAGCCAGAGGTTGCCAGACGTGGTTTTGCGTGGCATGCGTTCCTTGTTCCACATTTGAGATGTTGATGTCAGCTTGCAGGATGTAAACAAATTCAGGCTTCGAGTTCCGGATTTCAGTTGGACTGGGTTTTGCGGTGTTTCTACTCTCTGCAAAAAGTCAGGCGTGGATTTGCTGTTTTGTTGTTTAGGCTCCTCCATTCCAAAAGCAAAGCAGAACATCAGTATGTCCAGCGAAGGCGCGACCCCAAAGGCGTGAAGCACATTGAGACTCGCAACCAGGCGAGGGTGGCTTCCTACCTCAGGAGCTACTGGGCGTAAAATGTAAAAATAGGGACTTCCACGAGATTTGGGTTCCATTCGCTGCTCTTCAAACCTGGCTGGTTTATAGTCCGCCTTAAGTAGANNATGGGGTCGGTATATGGGGATCTTAATATGATATACCCAAAGCCATATTCTATCTACTTTAGGAGGACTATAGGTTGGAACTGAATCACTTTTTTTCTCTCCCGTTGGCAAAATTTGAAGCATCACGGACGCGGTGTTCAGGGCCCGGAAGATGCAGGGGATGTGGCATTGATGCTTTGCGTAGCAAGGCTGGTAGCAATTAAGATCTTCCGCACTTGCACTGCTTGCACAAAGAGAAGCTGAGGAACCATGGAGGAAATCTTCAACGCCTGCGAAATATCGTTGGAGAGATTGGGCGATGAGGATATGCAGTACCGGCTTTCAGTACATGTGCCCTGGCGAGGACATTGATGTACTGCTTGGCGAAGAGAAAGGTACAGGGGACACCTCAAATTGTATAGACATCAAAATGGGTGATGCGCTCGCTGCTGAGTATCATAAAGGCCTTCAGCCACCAGTTGTCAAATGAGCTTTGCCCTCCCAGCAGTGCCAATGCGTTTGTAGTACAATCAAGCATCCGGAGAAGCTTAATGATTTCTTGAATCTGAAGGAGACCCTAACTCGCAAGCAGCTTGATCCTGAAACGTTGTAAAGCTTTCCAGTCACAAAACCCCTAAGTCTTCATTAAAGACGTGCTAGCTCAGCGACTGCTTCGGCACCGGAAGCCCTCGCCACGAAGCAATCTGATTGCTCTCCCAGAGACTTGGCCTCAGGTTGCAACTTAGCAATGTAGCAGCCTCAATGATTTCCAACGTTATGGTCCTAGATTCCTTCTGTAGTTATAGTATAGAAGTTAGGCATAAATGAGAGAGACTTCAACATGATAGGGGTAATTATCGAGGTCCTCCAGAAGGTCTCAGCCCCTCGAAACCGGACCCCTAAACTCCTAAACCTCAAGCCGCTAATCATAAATCCGAAGCCCACAGCTCCCTAAACCTATGTAGCCTGAGCCACCAGATGACAAAGCCTAGGACGTGATCATGAGTCGTGGCTGCCGCGCTGCCTACATCCACGTTGGTGCATCCGGAGTACTGGCCTCGGGTGGTTTTGGATTTGCGGCTGAAGCTACATAGCGAAAACCCAAGTAATTGTTGGGTAATATCCGTTGACCCTTATGGCCATTGTTGGATAACACCAGTGTTTCATAATGCTATGCGTGCCTGGGGCTGAAGCATTAAGGTTTGGGAGGTGAGGGGCTCTCAGGAGTTTGCAAGAGTGTCATAAGTTAGGTCATTGGCAGTTCATGTGCAGGATTCATGGTAACGATGCACGTCTTAAGTTATAGATATCTTGTTGAGATCTGGCTGACTTGTGCATACCAAGGACCCCAGTTGTGAGGCTTTGCCGGGTCTGAGACATGTTTCTCTAAGTGCCACAGAGTCATGGGGACTTGCAGCAGACATGCAGTTGACATCATACTAGTGCTGTGCCCCAATGAAACAAGGACGCCAAATTTTGAGTCAGCCACCTCAATTTCAGAATCGTCTTAAGCCGTCTCACAGAGATGCAATTGCTGCCAAGGACAAACTTGAGCAGCGCCAAGCTTTCGTGCGCCTTGGATCTCGTGAAGCTCTAGGCCTGAATCTTGCAAGGGCTTGGCGCATGATGTAGGATTTTGTGCTGACATTGAAATGGGGAACTGACTTTTCACAATGCTTCAGAAGATGTCAATAGATGGAGGAAGGAAAGTTCTGAGAAACCTGTTCAGAACTTGTGCGTTTTAGGGAGCAGAATGCTGAACTGTCAGGGAAAAAACGGTGCTGCTTGCACAAACTGCTCGCACAGTGTCCGAGTGAGGAGGACCCTGATAGGAGCTATTGTGTTTGCAGACGCCGTTCCTCAAACCTGACAGGAATCAGAGTTTCCGCATGTTTGTGAAATTACAGGGAATGCAGGTACCAGATCACGTTTAACATCTCTGCTTCAGCCTGTGCCTGGTCGCCTGGTCTAAGCTTGTTGCTTCGGCCTACAAAGCACCAACAACCGCAGGCATCATGCTGATCATCATCATTGTTGATGTGTGATTGCGGCAGTTGCCCTTGCAATATACTATAGTAGTTTAAATGTTCTTTCTCTTCCACTATCCCCACATAACCCCAATATCACCCCTTTGTATCCTGTGTAGTCCAAATATTACCCCTACATAACCCTATGTAATCCCAACCTTACATGCGACAGGGAAGTCAAGCCCAACTCAGGTGGCTCTCTAGACACAAGGGCAAGCTCAAAACGGCACTTGCCAAGCGATGGAAAAGGCGCTTAGGGAAGCCTTTCAGTTGCGGGTCCAGGGAAAAATGAGCTTCTTCCTGATGGTTTTCTATGTTTTCATTGACATTGTTTGGTTTCAGTTGCTTTTGACATTGGTCCGTGTCTGTGCGTGTGTTGGTTCAACAGTTGCGCCGTTACTGATCGTGAGTTCTTGATTTCAGGGTGCGAACCATATATTTGCAGGCTGCAACCTGTAAATGACGGGAGCATCAAGAAGAACATTGCTAGATCCGCAACGCGTCAGGTTGTGTAACCAAAGCCTTATCCACAAGGGCATAGGTGATTTCAATGGTTTTCTTATTTTTGGGGTACTCGAACCTTTTAGAGATGAAGGTAATGCCGTCACGTCCCCGACCGTCCCTGGTTCAGACCCTACTTCAGCAACCCTCTTCCCTAAACTCCCTCCAATGTCCTCCTTTGGAGAGACGAGCAAGAGTATTTGCTGGGCTTGGTGCTTACAGTATCATGGCCACCACCGCCACTGCCACTGTTACTACCGCCGCCGTTACCGCCACTACCATGACCACCACCAACATAGCTGCCACTTCGAGCCCTGCTGAGGCGAAAGGCCATTCCGCAAGTCTATTTCCTGGAGTCGAAGTATGATGAGAACCTTGGCTTCGTGGAAAACAGGAAATAGGGGTTTGAGGGCAGGTCTTGCCACAGGTCACGCTTGAACTAGGGTTGTTTTGGGATGCAGCTTGCAGATATTGTGCAACCATAGAAAACTTTTGTCTGACCTGCCCAATCCTGCGACAAACTTCTGGCGTTAAGCTCTAAGCTCTGGCCACTTCGGATTTCTGACACCTGCAGCTGGAATTTAACTTGTAAGAGATTCATTCTGAACTATGCCAGTTGCCTGGCTTGCCCTTGCCAATTTGAGCCTGGCTTAGAAAATTGCTTGCAGGTGATGCTCTGGAGCAGCCAATTTTGGGTGGCCGAGCTAAGTACAAACCACCAAGCCCTGGTTTAGTTTTTTTCCCCTGCAAGCTACCCTTGAACATCTCTTACAAATCAAGGCCTTGCTTTGAAGAAGCAACAAAGGTCTCATAGCGATGGAAAAGAGCATGGCAAAGATGTGTGGTATAGGAGCAGAATGGTTGGTAGGAGACAAATAGGGTATTGCCAGGAGATGATTTGGCTAAGTAAGTATTGTTGGGAGCGTGTGAGCATATGGATTTCCGGCTTGTGGGTTGGCTGAACTTGGGTTCAGGGTGTAGGGTTCACCATTAAAGGTGCAGCTCAGGACCACAAGCCTGAATCGCAAGACAGGCGCTAGAAGTTCCCATTTTTTGGAAGAAAGCTTCCTAGGGCCAAGACCCAAGGTGGGACGAGCAGTTTCGGCAAGCTCGGAAGTATCCTGAGCTCAACGAACCAGATCCATACTCGCCGCCCGTCTTGAAGTGTGTTGAGTCAACAGGATTCACTCAACTGCAAATATTTGCCTATGTTCGCTGAGGTCCTTTCCCAGCTTCGTGCCCAAGTTCATGGACTGAGGGGGTCGTGGCCGGGGGGGAGTTTCATGGAAGTTGAAAAGCAAAAGTAGGACACATTATTTTACAAGTAATCCAACGTATTCCATCCCCGAGATGAGCACACAGGTGACCGGCAAGCTCGAGAATAACTCGAACTCCACCAACGTACTCCATAGTGACATTTCTCATGCCGGCACAGATTTGTGCACAGAGAATGTTCCCACAATCCCAAATCATCCTGATGTATCCCCAAAACGAAGAGGGGCATGGGTAGGAGAATGCGGCGGTGTTTCGAAAGCTCCGCAAGGATGATTCATTGGTCAACTCCTCAGTGGGCGGAGTGTCTGCATAGAGACATGAACCGATGAAATGATGTTAGGTCTGGGGGGGTTCGAATCGAGGGATCCTCCTCGGCTCAATTGCTTCCAGCCCTTGTAGAAAAGGGTGGGATAGTAGGGGAACCCATGATCTTCAGGGAAAAGAACAGAGTCCAGGGCCCCTAGATTGGCGGCATGCAGTGTGGAAGTAGAATTCGTGCCTTCCCTTAAACGTCCTTCCCCATACATGGTCGGTTGAGCAGGCTATTATAGCGGCCACTACTTCCAGCAGTACTGCTGTTTGCTACCACGTACTTCTATGCACACCGCCACTTGCACTAGAGTTTAAGTGCTCTGTTGGTTGTGTGTCAAGCTCCGCTGCCAAGGAGAAGTGGCAGAATCATATGGGCTTGGGAGATGACTCGAAGCCCTACCCTAAATGGGGCTACCCGCAGTAGCCGGTCTCTGAAAGTATGGACCATGTATCACCATGCGCCCCTTTAGACCTATCCTGTACCATATATCACCGTCTCAGGAGTTCATCGGATATAGGTCCATACTTTGAACATACCTTGAACTGCGCTATCCGAGCAAAGTCAGGTCCTTGTCAGAAAGTCCATTCCCAGAGTTTTCGCGTTTCTTTCATGTTAAGGGAAGGTATACGTGTTCATGCCAGCATCCGGTAGCATCAGCTGGTCAGTTGATGTTTGTTTTTGCGCTGCATATCCCTATGGAGGGCGCTTTTGAGTGATGTTGCGCGTCTCCTGTTGCCTGACTTTCATGCGCAGATACCACTCTCTGCGACCGCCAGGTGAGTCTGAGGAGCCTCGAAAATTTGCATCTATGATAGTGCGGAGGGTTGGTTGACTGGGCTTGGAGACTGGGCTTGGTATTGATCTGGGCGCAAGTGACCGTTTTGGGGGAACACTAACCTAGGAAGCTCCCACGTCATGCCTTTCTTTTATTCCCATGTCGAAGCAGTATACTACAGCCGGTTCTGTGTCCCAAGGTGGCTCACGTATTCCAGAGGCCCCAAGGCCCCTTTGACTCACCATGTGACTGCGGCGCACGCTCGGACGAGTTCGCGACCAAAGGGAGGATTCCTTGGTTCTGGCCAGGATATGGTACCCCTTGAGTAGATAGAATATGGTGCTTTGGGGATCGTATTATGGCCTGAGGGAGTTCCATATTCTATCTACTTGAGGGGAACCCCTGACAGCACGCCCTCTTGTTTTTGGTTTGGTTCTGGTGTACTCCAGGAGGGGTCAAGAATGAAAGTCCCTGAGGGCCCTATGGGTTTCCATGTTAGTTTGGGAGAGGATATGGAGGAAGACAAGCCAGGCTCCAAATCAGCTGAAAAGGACTCATATAGTATATTGGTGTTATATAGGGATAATGGAAAAGAAAATGGAAACGACTATCGTATATTAAAGTATATGCTAGGGTTGTTGAAGTCGGATGTCCGGGTTTCAGGAAAGATTGTGTGTCGAATCTTGGCGGGAGCCATCGAGAACCAGAATGCCTGCGTTGCATGGTGATGGGGCATGGGGCATGCGTAGGAGCCCTACTGCCTGCTCCAGCTGTCTGTTTCATCAACCACTGTTCTCACAACAGGGGCTTTTCTCAAACTGATTCGTCCCTGTTTAAGATTTGTTTTTTCTCGGTTCTTATTTCATGGACAACATTGGGGACCTTTCATGGACAACACTGGGGTGCGTACTTTTGAGGGCTACCCATAGACTGACGTATCTTCAACTAGGTGTTCTTTGTAAGGGCGTTTTCAGCAAGCTTTCTTCTCTACACCTGTTGACGTGTGACAGTTTCTCGCCATTGAAAATAAGGGGAAATCCCTAGATTTTTTGTTGCCACCTCGTCAGGCGCACCTTCGTGAGCATGGCCGCACTTCCCTGCGGCAGCTCGGGATGCGGGTGGCTCTGCCACCAGGCTACCGGGGTGCGGGGTTTGGATCCAAGCGTAAAGCTGAGACGAATTATAGTATATTGTCGTGTGTTGTAGTATATTCTTGTACATTATAGTATAGGGTCTAGGGCCCAGCTTTTCAGAGTTTGCGGGCCAAGAGGTGGGGGGAGCTTGCGGCATCGAATTTCTGACAGGATTGGATAGGATTGTCTGGGTCTAGGGCTGTTTTCTAAGGAAGTGTGGCTGAGAAGCACACGGAAATTACACAGGAGTTCAAGAAGCAATCAGTTCAAGGGATTGCTTCGGGCAGATCACTTGTCACCACACGTGCTGCTACAATAGCTTGTTAACGTAGTCTGCTACCACCTTTCGCGGTGCTCCCCAGTGTCATTTGTAGGAGCTCTGCATAGTTTTGGGAAAGATTTGATGCTAGGGTGAGGATTTGGATTCACTTTGAGGTTATGCATTCTACAGAGATGAAGAGCAGCTGTCCTCCACGCACGTTAACCTGTAGCACATAGGTCGACCCTTTGTAATGAGCATTGCATTGGCTGAGAGGAACAAGCTTGGGCACCACTTTCGGGGTCTTCCTGAACGCCTTGTAGCGCTGCGTTACCCAAAGTCCAAAGTCGTAGTCGCCGCACCCAAACGCAAGAAAACCTGATGTAGAATCCTTGAAGATGCCCAAACTTATTGCTTTTATCCCCGTTTTTGGGATCAGAGAAATCCTCAGCTTTGTAGCCCAGCGATTTTTCTTTTGGTTTAGTGTCATGCCTCCAACCTCTGCGGCTTCTGCAAGGCGGACGGAATCTCAAGCCTGCAGCCTAGACACATGAGGTGTGTTGTTTAAAGCTATAGGTTGAGAGGTCTTGGCCCAGAGACCTGCGCATTTTAGGGTCCGGTGGGGACCTGGCGCGAAATGCACCCATGAGATTCCGGGCCTCAGAGTGATCTGCTGAAAGACAGGGGTTGCTTTTTTTGTTTGGGGAAATCAAAGGCTGGGTGATCTTGTCGCAGGTTCCATTCAAAGAGGTAGAAGGGCCACTTTCAAACATTCCAAACCATGATATGCGCTGGAGGGGCAGCGTTTGAATCAGTGCAGCGGCTGAAGGGGGCTCTCAGCTTCAATCAGTCGTGGTTCTTCCGTTGGTGCAATTCATGTAGCTTCATGCAGGTCTGAGACATAGCCCTGGCCCCAAACAGAGACCGCTCGGGACTCACGACACGTCATTTGCGGAGCTCCATTGCAACTGGGGTGCTTCTTGCATGTGGCACACAGAAAGTCTAAAGGATGCAAGCTTTCGAACCCCTGTGTTGTGCCCAGGCACAGCAGAGATGAAGTTGAGGCCTACCATCCTGGCCTGCTCCATTTATCTAAGCTTACGATGCAGTACAGGCCCTATGCCCACCAATGAATCCATCCAAGATGGGAGATGAGTGATGAGTGAGATTCCAGGTGCATCTGGATCTTTGTTTAGTGCAAGTAGGAGGAGCAACAAGAGGAACAATCTTATCCCTCCTTCTTGTTATACCTACACTGGCAATCAATTTTTTCTATTGGTAAAGCAGCCATGGTGACATGTGCTGAGATTTCAGCCTGAGGCTCAAAAAGCTGCTCATGGAGCGACGCGATAAGTTCATCCTGGTTGGGGCCCAGGGCATCATCCGTGATAGGGCTATAGAGGGGGATAATGGAAAACAAATACTATTCGGTTCAGTGTTGATCTGACCCTTGAGAAAAGAGCTAGGTGAGTCGTTGGTGGAATTTCTTCAAGGCATGGCTATGTGTGGGGATTCTGCAAGTGTCATTGAGGCTTGCATTCGGGTTCTGATGGTCTCAGCTCAAAAACCGAACGCTGACAGAGAGCAGCAGGATTCTTACAAAGGCAAAGCAAGAAGTTGTCATCGCCATCTTGGCGCTGAAACGACTTGATGCTTGGGTTTAGAGTTGAAGATGTAGATTTTGGGGGTTGCAAGCCCATGTTCCAAAATAAGTTTTGTCCATGTGGCCCCGGGTATCAAGAACAATGGTCATCAGATCCCAGCTAAGGATGAGACAGAGGACAAGAGACTGCCCGTTGGGGCTACTTAAGCCGTGTGCAATCTCGAGTCACGTAGGACGATATTCTCGTGGCTATGGCGCAGATGCCCCTACGTGTATCCTATCCAAAAAACCAGTAGGCCCCCAAAAGAGCCTGGGACTTTCAAATCCTCGGACCAGAGCCCACAACCTTGAACCCCGCCCTCTCTACAGGATCTCCATGGCAGTGTGGAGATCAATCACTCCAAGCCGCATCCCTACATTACAGGAAACTTCGTCCCCATCCCATCTGCAATGTGGTGTTTCACACATACGAACCCAAGATCCAAATCATTGCTGGAACCACCCAGATCCAAAAAGGTCTACACAGAGTTTTCTTGCGGTGGCGGGGGACATCCCTTCTTAGGATTGCTATGTGGGGGTAAGCAGCCCTGTCCTTGCCGGAGTGCTGAACAAGCAAGACCCTTCTTTGGTAGATGTGCTTGCAGAATAAATGGTGATCTCGATTTTTTAGCTTGAAACACATGGACTTGTGCTTCTGAGGCCGCGCCTCCATACGGTCTTCAAGACCGGAGTTGTTCACACTTAAGATCCGAATCTAAGACCTGCACATCCCTATATAACCCCACACAACCCCCATGTTTTGCGTTGTGCCAGCTTTTGCGCGGGCCCCTAAATGTTGGACTGAGGGTTGTAGGCCTAGGCCTTCGTTTGTAGATTTGGGCTCCCCAGGCTTGCTATCATTTGAGCTATAGTCTAAACTCCGTAGAGGGGTCATATATCAGCGGAATAATATAGGAGAGTTACATAGGGGTGATTAAGGGGATACTAGGAGTTTGGACTAGACTATAGCCTACGCCCTAAACCCCAAACCCAAAACCCCAAACCCAAAACCCCAAACCTGAAGCCCTAAACCCCAAAACCTAATCCCAATCCAAATACTAGGATCCTTGGTGTTAGGCAGTCGAAAGGAGAGATCAGAATTTGGATGAATGCATGATGCGTACTCGCTGTTCCATCCATGTAAAACTCCACCGCAGCTGAAGCTGAAAGAGCGTTACCGCTCCTTATCCT